TTTAAATGTGTCCCGTTGACTCCAAGTCGTAAAACGCCTTTCGCTTTTCTATGGGAAATAAATTTCTCATTGTTCACTAATTCACTTCTAGTGGTGGGAATGGTCGAACTTTTTGTTGGGAGTGATAGAATGTGAGCAGGTTGCTAAGGGGTCATGGATACAGCGAAGAAATGCAATCATGGGAAATGTACGTTCGGCTTCATTGAGTACAATGTGCAGTGACAAGGTGTTTACCAACTTAGCTCTAGCCAATAAGATGAAGGCGATGTGATTGTTAGTCATATATTGTCATGAATTAATGCGAAATTCAACTGGAAAATCAGCCAAGACAATGTTTTGCTGAAATAGAACAGTAGAATTTCTTAATAAATTATTGCTATAGAGATCAGGCTTTGAAATTTATTTGCGGAGACAAAATTAGATTGGAAAGGTTTTATCATTATATGTGCCCCCCCCCTGTTTCTTCAATGCAGTTCACTGGAAATCAAACCGTTTGAGCATAATTTGAAACAAATTCATATTGTTTTAATTGAATGTATTTGTTTGAAAATTAATCCGCATATCTCTTGTTCCCTTTTACTTATGCATTTATTCTATTAATTTTTAAAAGATTCTTTTTATCTTTGCTTGGTGTTGATTAGTGGTCCGAATGCAACTTTCACCTTTTGTTTACTCTTTCCTTCAGATTACGAAAATGGCACAAACTTTGACAACACAGTAGAAATTTTTTCCTTCACTTCTTCCGTTAGTTGGGATTGTTTTGTTCCACATTAGTCTTGGCAGTGCAAAAGAACTTTAATGGAGTTTTGATCACTGGGGGGGGGGGGGGGGGGGGGGGGGGTGGGGGTGGGGAGGATCCAAAACCCGCAAAATATCCTGTTAATTCAGTAAGGGAGGAGCTGAGAGGTCAAATGAGAGGTAAATGCTGATGTTATGGTGCCGGGGGTGGGGGTGGGTCTTGAGCTATTTGAATCCTGTTGGCAATGAATTTCCCTTCCTTGTGTGCTGAACGGGCAATTTGATTGGATTGCATGCTACACTCTCAATGGAGCTTACACAGAGAGAATTCTACGAATGACAATGCGAACCTGTTTACTTAGTCACCTAGATGCTTTAAGATATTTTGAAGGCATTTAAGATGGAAAGTATTACTTTCGGTCTATTCTGTATGGGTTAGTTGGGGTTCAAATAGCGCCTAATTCACTTGAAATAAAATTTTTCAGATTTCCTTGCATTCTTCTTCCTAGG